GTCTTGTCCCACTGTGGCAAGATGAATTCTTGGGTCTTCATCTAATCCTAGAAAAGAGTGCACATTTTCCACTGGACTTAGCTCAGGAGCTCACATTCTTTAGATATCAAGGAAGCTTACGTATATGAAGACAGTATGGTTAAATGAGAATCTGTTGTCAAATTGGTTGTAGCATAGAACTGTAAGAATGAAAACTTAATCACACTATTCAAAGGAATAGTGCAGAAATAAGAGGACACATTTCACACCTGTTGGTGGCCTCATCACTATCAGTTAAGAGCCTAGAACATGAGGCATTCAAATGACTCAAAAGGTCAGCATGTAACTGTAAGTCTCCCATCTCTTTCACCTCTTCCAGAGCTCAATGAAGGCAGAGAGTTTTTTTCTTTGATGCTTCCTATTTTGCACAGAAGAGTGTTTAGCACAGAGTGGAGGCTCAATATACATATATTGGGGTTCTTGGTCCATCAAATGCAGGAAGGGAGCAGTGGGAAATGAGTATGGAAGAAAAGTGAGGAAGAAAAGGGATGTGTTGTGTGTGTATGTGTGTGTATGTATACGAGCATCTGTAAAAATAATATAACAATGAATGGATAGGCTTTGGTTCAGGCTAGTCTAAAGCAAAAGGATCCACTGAGACTGTTTCCTTACTCCAATTTTCTTAAAACAACTATGAATCAAAGGTAAAACACTGAGGGGAACTGAAAGTTACTTAGAAATGTGAAATGAGGAAAGGGATTAAAACAACTGCTTATGTGCCAAGTGTTATGTCAGACAAATATGGACTAGGTTACCGTCTTCTCTAATATAAAGAACTAACCAAAAAGCAGAGATTGTGGTTCCCACTATGCAGGAAGGAGGCTGAAGGACATAGTGCACAAATGATTGGCAGGGGAGTGAGGTCCAGCCTAGTCTCTTGGCTCCAGTGACTGCCCTTCATTTGTCCCAGTTTTTGGCATCACCAACATGGTTCAGGCCATCATTGCCACTGCCCTGGCCTCTCCTTAGTCTTTATAGCCTGCGTGATGTTTCTAAGACCCAAATCAGACATGTCACTCCTCCTCTTTAAGTGGAACCAAAGAAGCCCATGATCCAGCCATTTCCCTTTCCCAGCCTCCTTTAAGTCCACTCTAAGACCTCCCACGTCCTCCTCTTGCCTCTTTGTTCCCAACAAACAGCAGGATATGTCTCACCTCCACATGCTAGCTAACCCATCACCTGTTTATAGAATATCTGCCCCTTCTATCTTTGCCTGGCTAATGTGGAATCATCTTTCAATATTTATCGGATACCTCAATTCCTTTAGGAATCTTGCTTGAGTTCCGGGTTGATGTTGGGACCTTCTTCTCCATTTCTATGGAACTCCCTAAATTCATGTGCCATAAAAATTTATCACATTCTGCTAAAATTGTCATTTTACATCATCTATCTCACTAGTTTATACGTTTTTTAAAGGCAAGAACCAGATACTGCCCATTTTTGTACCTGTAGAGCTTTGTACAAAGTATCTGCAGTAAAGTAAACTTTTAGAAGTTGCTTTTCTCTATTCTAAAGTAAACACAAAGAAAAATGAGATTTCTCTTAGGCAGAGTGAAAAATGCCATCATTAATATAAACTGTTTCTGAAATGAAGCTGGTGGGTGGGCAGTTGGGTGTGAGAGAAGACAGGGCATTCAGGAGGCAATGGCTTTAACTTCCTAACTCTACAGCTGTACTTTTCAGTACCTGATTCCTTCTGTCTGTCTTCTGGTTACACAGAAAAGTTGACCCTTCTCTTGACTAGAGTTGCATCTATTCCTTACCTCTACTCCCTCCTCCAAACCCATAAGAACAAAGGAATAAAAATTATACAGGCTCATTAGGACAAAGAAAACCAGAAACAACGTCTACAATGAATGAACAACATCAACCAAGTTTGGAAGATAAAAAGAGGATGGATAAGTGATGATTGACTTAGCAGAGGGAACAGAGCTGAAAGCTAAATGTCTTCATAGGGAAATGCTAACAAAAAGCAAATCAATATGTGCTGCAAACCCTAAGACAAATTGAGGGATCAAAGGCATTGAGGTACTTTGGAAGGCAGGCTCACAGAGTATGGCTGAAAACAGGATTGGCTATAGAAGAAGCAGTCTCCTAGATCCCATCTGCACACTTCAATGCCAATTAATGATCTCCCTTATCTCAGCATCAGAAGGTTTCCTTTCTGGAAAAATGAAAGCAGAGACTCTCTAGACTCGGGAATACTAAAGCCCATGGAGACAGGTGGTGAGTCACTTCCCTGGAAAGAAAAAGACTCAATGACAGTCCACAAACTGATGATGGCATCTTCTGTCCTTTCTCCCACTTCAGCCCACAAATTACTGGAAACTAGACTTGGATCCCTGAAAAAGAAACTATAGAATTCTTATGTTGAGAAAATAATTACCTGTGGCAGCCGTAGAGGTGTGCCTCAGGTTTCCTTTAAGAAAATACCGTGCAGAGAGCATAGGAGCATTAAGGCCATGTGTCCCTGGGCTACATTCAGTCAGTGACTGAACATTACAGTTATGGAAGACTCTTCCAACAGGCAACCTTTGGGAAGTCTCAGGGACTTCCCAACAGCCTGGCCAAGCCACTCTCAAAACTACACTGCAATCGTGGGCTCTTCCTACCCAATCCTTCCTTTTCTCCTCTCACAGGTGCCAGACCAGCACTGCTGCCTGAAGGCTCTTCCTACCCACTCCTACTTCTTCCCTCTTTATCCTTCATAGATGTCTCCCCCAGTAAATCTCTTATACAACAAATCCTGACTTGAGGTCTTCTTCTCAGAGGATTTGAACTGACCAAGTGATCTTAAGAGTGATCCAGGAAAACAGGTGCAAAGATGGGCCTGGAGACTGACCCACACCCTACCTAGATTGCAAAGAGGACCCTATCCTGAGTAAACATGGAACACAGATTGTCCCTGGAATGAGATGGTGGCCAAATTGCTGAAGATGTCACTGGTGTTGACCTGGAAAAATGTCCCAGTAGAAGTTAATATCCTTTGCTAGTGTGATGATTCCAGATAATCAGGTATTTAAAAATTAAGTAGAGAACAATGCCCACAACAAGAGCAGAGTTGGCTGGTAATTACAAACTTGTATTGCCACCCTGCAAAGCGGTGATGAGAAGCTGAGGGCAATAAGTGTGAGAGCCAGAGGGACTCTGGTAGCTTAAAAAAGAGTTACTTATTTTGTTGCAGTTGAAGAGTGGACACAGCTAAGGGGCAGATTCAGGATCTGATAGAGTTGCAGACCTCCAGGGATGTTTTAATGCATAGCCAAAGCAGGCTTGTTGTGCTAAGATCAGGGTCCCGGTTAGGAAAATCTGAAACCCATGAGATGGGTACATCTGAATGGATGCCCCCAAGGATTTTGGCTCTGCACACACTGAACACTCAGAAACCCCTGAGGTGGCCAGCCCTCCCATCCCTAGCAAAAGCCATTACTCTGCCATACTGGAAGAGTCTGTAGAAGCTTTTCCTCTAAAAGTAAACACACGCTTCCCTCCTGTCTTTTCTGCTAGGCAGATAGCTCAAGTTAAATCCCAGCATATCCTGGCCAGAGACATGCTGGGTCTGATAAGAGAAGAAAGAGAATGCTTATCAAAGAAACTGAAAGAAGTAGCAGGCATATATTGAGTCTGTATAGTACCCATGGCATTATATTTTGAGGGCGATTGATCAAGGAGGTCAGAATATGAAACTGCAGAATACAAAGCAAAAACACATTAACTTGGGGCCACATTTTTGGAACACAGAATTAAATACCTTGGCCAAGGTCCCAGGTGTTGGGGCAAACTCACTATTAATAGAAGCCTAAACATGCTTGGTCCACAGTAAAGTGGAAAGGCCTTACTTTCCACAGTAGATGGTAGAGGAAGACATAAAAGATGGAGCAGTGCAGGCCTGCCCATGTGAATCCCAAAGCCTCTCCAGAGCGTTGTACCCCTCTAGAGGGTTCAGAGGATGCAATAGTCACCTGGACTTTCAGCAATGTACTGCAAGAGGGTAAACAGCATCATTAATGAGTAACGTTTAGCCTGCATAAGAATTTGTAGATACTTTGAGCGGAAAAGTTCTAAAGAACGCAAGGCTCACTTCAAAATGTTTCTCTTCAGTTAAAAATTTCAGTCCTTCAAGTCCTGAATACCTTAATAGCCTTGTCCTACCTCCCAGCAGATTTTCAAGGTATATTAAATTTTTTCAATTATATTTTGTAGGAGAATTCCCCCGCATTGATCTACTTTGCCACTACTGCAATTGGACATCTCACCAAACAACCTTTTTAGTCTCTCACTGTTAAATATAAACCAATAGTCAAGGGTTCACAGACAACAGAAAAAATTCCCTATCTTGAAGGGCAGAAAAAAAATAGAACAAATAGTGAGAAATGGATATGAAGCAAGGTACAAAAAATGTATAGTTATCTTTATCATAGAAGTAAGAGACGCTTTGGCCAGGTGTGATGGCTCACACCTGTAATCCTAGCACTTTGGGAGGCTGAGTCAGGTGGATTGCCTGAGCTCAGGAGTTTGAGACCAGCCTGGGAAACATGGAGAAACTCCATCTCTACTAAAAATCCAAAAAGTTAGCCAGGCATGGTGGCATGCACCTGTAGTCCCAGCTACTCAGGAGGCTGAGGCAGGAGAATCACTTGAACCTGGGAGGCAGAGGTTGCAATGAGCTGAGATCATGCCACTGCACTCCAGCCTGGCTGACAGAGTGAAAGACTCTGTCTCCAAAGAAAAAAGAGAAATAAGAGAAGCTTTTGCAGCCATGAAAGAACACTATGATGCCATAAAAATAGAACTCTTGATGAGGAATTAGAAGCTTTTGAAACTTAAAAATTATGGTAGGACAAATCAATAACTCTATAGGAGTTTCAGAAGATAAAGACCAGAGTAAAGTAGAACAAAAAGACAAAAAAGAAAAGGCGGTTACGGTCTGAGACATAACTGCCAAGCTGGGCGTCGGGGAGATGGCCAAGACTGACCCCAAGACCGTGCAGGACCTCACCTCGGTGGTGCAGACACTCCTGCAGCAGATGCAAGATAAATTTCAGACCACGTCTGACCAGATCATTGGGAGAATTGACGATATGAGTGGTCGCATTGATGATCTGGAGAAGAACGTCGCAGATCATTGGGAGAATTGATGATACGAGTGGTCGCATTGATGATCTGGAGAAGAACGTCGCAGACCTCATGACACAGGCTGGGGTGGAAGAACTGGAAGGTGAAAACAAGATACCTGCCACACAAAAGAGTTGAAGGTTGCTAATAATTTATGCTGGAATCTGGAACACCATGTTTCCAAGCCAAGAGAAGATCCAATGGCTTTTTACAGCTAACTACTATGTGTAGACAGGTTTTATATTATAAAGTACGCATTCTTATCACATACTATATAGTTAGTTTGTAGAGTGATTTACCCCCCAGTTTCTTGAACATAGTATCTTCACATCTTGGGCCTTGGTCGGTTGTGCTATTCATTATTAAACACTAAAACTTTGGCGGTTCCTGCCAAAAAAAAAAAAAAAAAAAGGCAAATGGAAGAGAATAATATAAAAACAGGAGACCAATGTATTAGGTCCAATGGTCCAGAATGAAGAAATAGAGAAAAGTTGGAGAAGAAAATAATCAAACAAATAATAAGAACATTTTTCCAAAATGAGAAGATATGTGTTTTTAGAAAATGCCTATTAGACACGAAGACTGAAAATATAGACAAGACACATCATAATTAAACTTCAGAATGCTAAGTACAAATACAATCTCAAAAATTTCCAGAAAGATAAAATGTGTCACATATAAAGAGTCAAGAATTAGAATAACACCAGAATTCTCAATTACAATATTGAGGGCTAGAAGAAAATGAAACAGTATGTTCAAATTCTGGTAGAAAATGATTTCCCACCAAGAATTCTCCCAAACAATCAATTAAGTATAAGCATAAGTTGCATCCATTGCCAGACATTTGAGATTTCAAAAATTTACCTCCTATGTATGTGTTCTTGGAAAAGCTCCTGGAGATGTTGCACTATCAAAATGTCAGAGTAAATCAACAAATAAAAAGACATTGAGTCTTGGAAACAGGGGATACTACACAGAAAAAGTCAATGGAAGTAAATCCACAGGATTCTGGCAAAGAAAATGCCAGGAACATAGCACTTTGGCATGAGGAAGGACCAACTAGGGTAGATTTGAACAAGAGGCTAGATGGAGGATGACACTGAGAATGGTTTAAATGGTAGTCATGACTATGAAAATGGAATTGATTTATTTATGTGTTTGACTATACTGAGACGAACATACCGTTCTATGGGACAGTATGTGGAATAATTAATGATCAGCACAGGGAAATTTAATGAAAAAACAAATAAGCTGTACAAGATGGAAAAAGCAATAATAGTGTACTTTGTGGCTCAACATGAATAATAATTACATAGTAAAGATTGAATATTTATTTAAGTAAAAAATTGTTATACAACCATTTTGAGAAAATAGAGGAGAAACATGTGTGTGGGCCCATAGGATTTCTCCAAGGGTGCTTCAACTTCATCTTTCATAGCAGAGACAATCAATAGAAATGTCTAAAATAAACACTACTTAGAAATACAATAGTAGGCCGGGCACAATAGCTCACACCTATAATCTCAGCACTTTGGGAGGCCACGGCAGGCAGATCACTCAAGCCCAGGAGTTCAAGACCAGTCTGGGAATCATGGTGAGACCCTGTCTCTACATAAAAATACAAAAATTAGCCAAGTATGATGGTGCATGCCAATAGTCCCAGCGACCGGGGAGGCTGAAGTGGAAGGATTGCTTGAGCCCAGGAGGTCAAGGCTGCAGTGAGCCGTGATTACACCACTGCACTCCAGCCTGAGCAACAGAGCAAGGCCCTGTCTCAAAAACACAAAAACAAAAAAGAAATACAATGGTATATATCAAAATAGCTTTAAATGTTTAATTTGAGATAAACAGGTGAAGCCAGGAATTATACATATTCTTAATAGTCTTTGAACCACTTGAATCGCTTTGGTAAAAACAAATAATCGAAGACCTGATCATTTCCACAATAAGGAAGAACAAGGAGTAATTCACAGACATATCAGCATGGACCAGTCTCTTCCATTTCAAAACAAGCAACACCTCCCTTAACGTAATGCATCATTTCTCTTGACAAGCCAGCTTCATTAGTGTTGACTACTCACTGCCTCCACTTCTCACTGGCCACTTAGTTATTCACCTGCCATTATTACTGACTTTTTGTTGTTCAATATCATGAATTCTCTTCCCTTATTTGACCATGTTAAATCATCTTCTCTTTTGACTTACCTACCGCAGCTTCTCTGACTCTCTATTTTCCTCTAGTCACTCTTCATTTCCTCACACCTCCTCCAAAGGTTCTACTTTTTCTATTTGACACAAAAATATGCTCAGAAAACCACTGTCAGGCCACAGCAAACTCATTTCCTAGGTGGCATCAGAGGGACAGTGGTCTTCCCATTGCACTTCCCTAACCCAGGTTCCCCTCTGGACTGTTCTGGGCTGATTCCTTAGCAAAGTGCTTTCTCCCTGCTTCCCTGGACTTAAATTCCAGGTTTGCTTGCTTCCTGACCTGCTGACATCTAAGAGGATGTCACCAGGTTCCCTTGAACTATGCCCTGACTCTCTGTCCCAACAGAGACAGTTCCTTCTGCTCAGTCCCAACTCCTAAGAATGCTGCTGGGCCAGAAAATCCTGTCCCTGCTTGTCCCAGCTAAGAAACAGCACGTGCGATGGCCCCAAGGAGATAAGGAGCATGGAATGTCAAGGGGACAGGAGAAGAAGTCCAGGGTGGCCGCAGTCGAGAGAGCTGGGGGTCAGTGACCAGAGATGATGCTGAAAGATGGGCAAGGGCCAGATGTCACAGGGTCTTTTGTTCCACTTACAGATTCTTGTCTTAAAGATAACCATTCAATTGCATACAGCACGAATAATTTCTGACCAGATTTTCATAAAAAATGAGTTGTATGAAGTATAGAGAATGTATAAGATATGAATGAGAGAAAACCAGTTATGAATTGTGCAGATGGAAGATTAAGGTGGTGGAATTAAGGTGGTGAAGAGGGAGAGATGCAATTGAAATAGGGAGAATTAGGAGGCAAAATCCACAAGACTTACTAATGACTTTGTTAGGGATTTTGAGAGAACAGCATCAGAGATGACCTCCAGGTTTCTGACTTGAACGTCTGAGAAACTGAGTCACAGATAAAGCAGACACTGGAGGAGGACTAAGTTTGAGGGAGAAGTTACCAGTTTCTGAGCTTGAGATGTGTTTGAGACCACTGGGTGATGATTTACCAGAAGTCAGCTGGATATACAATTCTGGAAAACATTGAATAGAAAAATGGGCTGAGTTGATAGATAAAAATGGTGTAGTTGGCCAGGCACGGTGGCTCACACCTGTAATCCCAGCACTTTGGGAGGCTGAGGCAAGCAGATCACGAGGTCAGGAGTTTGAGACCAGCCTGGCCAACATGGTGAAACTCTGTCTCTACTAAAAAATGCGAAAACAAGCCAGGTGTGGTGCATGGTGGTGCACACCTATAGTCCCAGCTACTGAGGAGGCTGAGGCAGGAGAATCGCTGGAACCTGGGAGGTGGAGGTTGCAGTGAGCCGAGATTGCACCACTATACTCCAGGCTGAGCGACAGAGTGAGACTCCATCTAAAAAAAAAAAAAAAAGATGTTGTACCAGTTCCTATCACTGCTACACTGCTATACAAAATTGACAATTGTCACAATCTATCTGTTGGTGGCCTTAAACAACACAGATCTATTATTTCACAGTTCTAAAGATTAGAAGCCCAAATGGGTTACATTTTATTAAAATCAATCTGTTAGCAGAGTTGCATTCCTTCTGGAATGTCTAAGGGATAATCTATTCTCTTGCCTTTCTCAGCTTCTAGAGGTCACCTGCACTGTGTACTCCTTGGCTTATGGCTCCTTCTTCCATCTTGAAAGCCAGCAGCACTGTGTAGCATCTTCAAGTCGATTTCTCTCTCTCTCTCTCTCTCTCTCTCTCCCCCCCCTCCCCTTCTGTATCTGACTTCTGCTTCCATTGTTACATCCCCTCTGTGACCCTTACCTTCTGACCTCCCTCTTATAAGGATCTTTGCGCTTACATGAAGCCCATTCACATAATCCAGAACAATCTCCCCATCTGAAGACCCTGAATGTAATCACATCGTCATTTAACCATGCATTTTGCCATGTAAGATAATATATTAACAGGTTCCCGCATTTGAATGTGGACATCTCTAGGGACCACTGTTCTGCCTGCCACATGTGTAGGGACACGACTCTGTAAATGCTTACTGAATAGGTGGTTTTATAAAAGGAATGCAATTTTTAAGTGGGATGTTGTTTTCCCCTAATCTGATAGAATCAAACTCAGAAACAGGGAGATTTAATGGATGAGCCAAGGGAAATGATGAAATGTATAGTAGTGCTGAAACCAAGTTGTTTTTACCAAAAAAAGTTTTACATGTTTTGCTCCTAAAAAATTATCCCTTTTGAACACATATAGGAAAGGTAATTTATGCCTAAAGCCTGTCATCTTAGAAATTGGTTCAGCTCTTTTCAGGAGGCAGTCTAAGCATGACTTCGGTGAGTGTAATATATGGTGTATCAACCTCAGTTAAGCACCATTCAGTAAAAGGACAGCTATTCCTGGTCTTCTCTCTCTAGCTACTCACATCTTGACTGACATTGTTACAGCCTCAATACACAGAATACAAAGTCACCATGAAGATGATGTCTCTCATGGTTACATCCAATGAGCTACTTGTGAAAGCTTTGTTTCCTGCCCCTGTAACTGATATCTTCTGGTTGAGAAGTTTTAGTGCCCAAGAAAGTTGTCCTTCCATCAATGGTTCTAAAGGCGTAGTACTTCCTTGTAACCTGGTTATTTTAGGCTCATCATTGACACTGGACAAACACGCAAAAGAAGGGTTAGTGGGGGTTTTTTATTTTTGATTAATTTTTTTCTCCCTGTCTTATGGTGCTGAGGGTTAGTGTTTAGGATGACGTATTTGATTTTGACTATTAAAAGACAATAGGATGCTGCCACAAAAGTGGAAGGGAAACATATGGATGGAATCCAGGCAATCCTATGCATGCTGCCTTGCAATACCTTATTCACTGATGACTCATGCAAACTAAACAGGTAAATCCACCAGGGCTCAGAATATACACATGTTAGAGAACCCCACACAAAGGGAAGTC